ATGAAAAGAAGCCAAAAAGGCTCAAGTGTTCTAAAATGAAAAGAAAAGAGGCTATTCGCTATGAAAGAAAAGAGCTGTGTGAATAAGTGAACACCAAGGCTTGAGAATTAAAGCAAAAGAGAGTCCCCTAGTGAAAAGAAAACGATTGAGAAAAGTGAGGAAGCTTTGAGTGGAGTGTGGGGTGTGATGAGTCTTGCCCTTGTATGCATTGGTTGCTTTTTACCTTTAGCATTCTGCCAAAGTTTGGTCGTTCATAGAGAGATCCCTTGCTGCATTACACCCGCTTGAATATTGATGAGAACATTTTTATCTCATGACCTTACCCTAGCCAAGCCAGCCTATTTGAACATTGCATCATTTGATTCACCGGTTACGAACTTAATGAATGTGAAAGAGTTGAATGTGATAATGACTTGTGGAGATTCCGTGCTTTAGTTGGAAAATATCTGAGGATAGCTTTGCATTGCATATTTGAGCATGAATCCGAGTTCTCTTTGTGATCACTTCTCTCTAAAAAGGAAATATGAGCTCCATCTGCATTACAACCTCTTTCTCTCATTTGTTCTTTTCGCTTGAGGACAAGCAAAGGACAAGTGTGGGGGAGTTGATATGTCTATATTTTACATCATTTAGATTGCATTTTAGAGTCCTCATCATGTGTTTTCCCATGAAAATTGAGTCTTTAGGCGTCAAAATAGGATTTATGGCTTGCATTAGGTCCCAAAGAGTTTTGCATGTTTTGAAGTCTTTATCAGGTGCTTTGGAAGTCATTTGGAGCTCAAGAAGAGGAGCAGAGAAGAAAACGGTGAAGAAAAGGGTCAAAAATGGTGAAAACCGCTTGGAGGAATTTCTCGGCCAAAACGCGTACCGGCTGGACAGAAACCTCGGTCAAAAAGCTTACCGAACGCTCATTACCGACCAAAACCCTTACCGATCGACCAAAATCAGTCTGGGTCGAGTATCGGTGCAAAATACCACGGGTTAAGTTTTTGGCCGAGGCGAGAGAAATTTACGGCTAAAAAGCTTACCGCGGTACATAGCCCTCGGCCATTTTCCTTACCGCGGGAAGCTTTTCTCGACCAAAACCTGTCTTTGCCCGCGCATTTCAAAGATCAGCAATCCGGGGAACCTTCCGGTCCAAATCAGTTGGCGGGGTCTTCGTCAAAGTTGGAGAGAATCAAGCAAAGATCCCAGATCAGTTGGAATCATCCAATTCGTACCAGTGAGGAGAAAGATACAGCTTCCGGAAGATGCACCAGCATTACGCGCATCCGAGAACCGAACGGCGGACTCCAAAGATCACGGCGGACGGAGCCTTTCCGGATCGAACTAGCCTACCCGGTCTGCATAAAAGTTTGAGATCTGTGAAAGACCTTCTCAGAACAGTTGGAATCACTCAGTTCGGAGCAGTGGTTCAAAAGATAAGGTCTTCGGAGTTCACATTGGTTCAAAAGCTTATTTTCCGGTGAATCCGATGCGGTGCAAAGATGTGAAATCCAGGAAGCCTTCCACTTCCCAAGCTCCGACGGTTTCTTCACCAAAGTTCGAGCTTATTGAGTCATCTTGACTATGAAACTGGTCTCTGAGCAATTGGAGTCGTGTGTTGAAAGTTACTGCTTCCGGAAGGCAATATGGTTGATACGAGCCCAAATGAGTCACGATACGCGCTAAGTGTTTTCTCAGGGCTCGGCATCATTACCTCGACATCGCCCAAGTCAAGGCTCATATCTTGGGAGTATTCTGGACTAGACCTCATGCCGATGCCTCGGCACGTTGAGATCAAGGCATGCACACGTAAGAAATGAAGCTGGAAATGACTAAGTGTTGAGCATGCACCTCGGTGTAATGACCTCGGCGTGCATGCCGGACTCTGTTCTCCCGAACCCCTCGACTACCAAGCTCCTCGGCATTTTATACCGAGGTCCCTTGTCACAAACCCAGAATCAAGAACAAGACGGCTCAAGAACACACACGTGAATATGGATCAAAGACTAGGGTTCATGCATGTTCTTGACGTGTTCTTCACGAGATCTTCATTCGATCCTGACTCACGTGCACTCCTCGACATAAAGACCTCGGCTTCACTCTCCGACACACCGTGGCACTCACCCATCAACCCAAGAAGGCGGCTCAGTACCCGGTTTGTTCCGGGCTGACCCGCAACACTTTCCCTTTGCTATAAATACATTTTAGGACCAAAAACCTAATCATCTTATCTCTTATCTGTTTTAGCTCTAAGAACTTGCCTCTTTTGTGAAACTCGATTAATCTAATCCGATATCTCTTTTTTGCATCAGAATCTTGTTCTTTCTTTATTTCTTTTATCATCCAGCATCAAACTCCTTATCATGACTAGCTACACGTCTTGCAAAGGACTTAGTGAGCTCGTTATGATCAGTGAGTAGTCGTTTAAGCGGATTTAGATAGGTAGATTATGGTGCTTTCAAGATAGATTAATGGGTTTAGGTGTCTAGTCTTGCATGTTTCATTCTTTAACCGACGAGATCTCTAGGCTGGATCCAAGCACATCACTTGAGGTTCAGATCTGAGACATATCTCGCATCAAAAGTGTTTGTAGAAATGTCTGAACCACTCGGTTAAAGGTTTAAGAGTCTTTCATCGCGAGAGTGATAGTTTGTTCTCTTAAATGACATTTTTGAACTGAATCTTATTGCTGACTGATTCGTGCTTTTCAAAAGGGATTTTGGTATGAAAGAGGATCCGTTTAGATGTTTAATACTTTCATGAGAAGATTAACATGCCTTGAGTTCAAAGTTAAATGAAACCGCTTGATAAAATGATTCATTAGCCCATTAGTCTAGCTTGGAAGCACCCGAGTCAAGTATCCTGTCTAAAGCTTCTGCCTTTATCATATATTATCATCATCCGAATCATTTGCTTGTTATTTGCATCTTCACTTAGTTTAAATCTCATCTTTTGTCTCATTACTTGCTTGTTTACTTGTTAATTAGTCTAGCTAAAAACCTTTACTATTCTCTCTTGACTTAAGGCAACAAATGACATAGATAGTGTCTCCACTACAAGTTTGGTTTGATAACCCCTTGTACTACAAGGACATGGGTATTGATAACCTCTTTAAAGAGTGAAAACTCTTAGTTATCATTCAGCCACTAGAGTCTTCCGAAAAGATCAAGATAATTGATTCTAGATTTCATAACAGTTGGAATCGATGAATTTGGAGAATGGAGCTGAAAGATACGGCCACCGGAAGACAGACCTCTCTCGCATCCATTCCGAAGCAATCCGATACGTCTGAAAGATTGCCTGTCTGGGGAGTTTTAACGTCCGATTCAGCTTACAGGCTCTTCAGAAAAGTTGGAGATGATCAGTTTACGGATCCAGAACAGGTGGAATCATTGGATTTGGACTCGTGAGCATAGATTTAAACTCACCGGAAGGCACACCTATCTCGCTACAGTTTCAAGACCGATCCGAGGAGTCACAAAGATTGCGTGGGACGATGCCATTCCAGTCTGATTCAGTTTCCGGGACCTTCATCATGATTAAAGATCTTTGAGTAATCTTTCCATAAAATCTAATATCATTCAGTTTGGAGCTATGTGCTGAAAGATACTGTCTCCGGAGTGAACTCTGGTCTAAGAGCTCCTTTTTGATCATTTCAATGCGCTGCAGAGATGAGCCGTCCGGGGAATCTTCCACTTTCCAAGATCTAAAAGTTTCTTCACCACAGTTTGAGATATTTGAGTGCTCTTTCCACTGAAGTTAGAATCAAGCCATTTGGATCTATATCCTGGAAGTTACTCTCCCCCGAATGCGAAGTGGTCCGAGCAGACTTGAAGTCTGCGAGATAGTTTTGCGAGTTGGTTAACTCGCAGTGCCTAAAGATTTAAATTCTGGAAATGATATGTGTGTAGATGTGTGGGTAAGGTAACCCTGAGTGAGACCAAAGACCCCCGAGCAGGAAACATGCTAAGTCCACAAGCTGTGCGACTTGGCCGAGCAGTGAACTGAACCGCACAATGACTCGCTGTTTACACAGACTTGGGCCTGCGACTTGGGAGTGAATTAGACCATCTCTCACATATACTTGAAGTCTTGTGCTACATGAATGTGTGAGGTAGAGAGCAAAAGGACCTGAATCGCATAAAAACTTGCGGTTTACACCGAGAAGGGAATGCGGCTTGGCTTACAAGGTTCTGTCTCGCTAAAGCACCTTTCCAGACCTGTGCGAGTTGGGCATGCGACTTGGGACAAAGGAGGACCAACTCACACACATATTCTCTCCAGAATGCGTCTTGGTTGTGCGAGTTGAAGAGAAGAAAGCTTGAACAGCACAAACACTCGCGGTTTACACATAGATATGCATGCGGCTGAGGCTGAAGGATTTAAGGCGCAAAAGGTTGTTTCTATGGCTGTGCGACTTGGGCCTGCGAGATGGAAAGCACCTGACCAACTCGCACACATAGAACTTTACCCATCTAAGCCGGGTCAGGACCCAGTTTGTTCTTGACTGACCCAGTTCGTTTAAAGAGCTATATATACTTTTTTAGGGTTTTACCATTACAAGAAAAATGTACATTGTTAGCTCATGATTAACGCTATCATATCGATTTGATAGCGTTCATCAGAACGCTGTGATTTCCGGAGCTATAATAGGGTGACACCATACAATAGCGTTTTCAGATTATGCCATAATATGTATTTTATAGCGTTGAAATTGTGTTGTTATTTACGATATAGTAACTCATTTTAGACGCTGTTCTATTTGGTCTAGTAGCACTATTCATGTGCTGTAATATGGACTTTTGTAGCTTGATTTTGTTGCTATAGACTGATCTCTTGTAGCTCATTTTCCTCGCTACAGTATAACATGTTATAACTCTTTTTCTAGGTTATAGTATATTGTTTTGTAACTCTTTTTCCGGGCTACTGAATAACGTTATATATATATATATATATATTTGAACCCTGTTTTGTAGCATATAATATAATTGATCTGTATAAAAATATATCTAAAATTTGTTTCAAAAGATTATTTCATTAAGCGAAAACATGTTTTACACAAATATTACAAGGACCAACATTACTAAACAACAAAAGGTAAAGGAATAGCTAGTGACAATAGTGACAGCTTAGCTTCCGAGTAACATGTGGCCACGGAGTATACCATAGATATATGAAGCCTCATTGGTTACCTTCACAATAACATGTGGCTACCGAGTACAAACTGCCTCCATAAATTCCTTAATTACTTCTATATATTCCTCATTCTCGAAACGATGTTGCTGCATACCCAACTCTGTAAACGAAGAAAAACACAGCAAGAATGAGAACATGACAAATATTAGATATTCTCATACATGTCTCTCAACTATTGGAAATCCCTTAACCATTAAAGATAAAAATAGCATAACAAAGAGTGAGTAATATAACAAACTCCTACACAATACCATAAACCAATTACATTTTAATGTGTATATATGTATGCATACACTGATACAAAGTACCCTTCGCTACCTCCTTATGTAAAGCTAGAGATAGATAATCAATATGCTTCACTACTAAAATCTCAAACATTTATATACTATGTGCATTCACAAGAAGAAGATCGTCCTTATCCTATCATAGTCATCTAATAATTTGAATTCTGAATATTGAGATGGGATAAAGTTAACAAACGACCCGTGAAGTGTTACTATAAATATTATTATGACTACTAACCTTGTATCTGCAGTCCGTCCAAGTGACCATAGAAAAAGTGGTTGATTCGAAACATACATTTGTGTTTCATCTCGCTTGGTGGTGGGCGACCATTTTGAAAATAAAATTGCAATCATTTCAACGCTTACTCCATCAGCATATAAAAGAGGAAAAAAGAATGCACTTTATGAAAATCTGCAGAAGCATTTAAAAACCTGAGCCATTGGCTCTTTAACAGGCTCGTTGGTTATTTTTAGGGAAGAGCATAAGTTAGAAGGCCCAGCTCACTGTTTCGTCATACGGAGTGAACCACAACTCCTTGGTGAAAGGGGAGGAGCATTTCCTGCAGGAAACATGGATGATATAGAATTGCTGGTGGCAGAATTTGAGCCAGATGCAGTTCCAGCTACATTCAAAGGAGCTCCAGCCAAGGCATCATGAAGCAATGCTGCAATCTAAGAAAAGAAAATGAGCAATACAAAGTTTAGACTTGAGATTTCAGTGAATGGCTGTTTACAATAACACATACCATGACCATTCCTCTGAACCAACACTACACTATCAAAGATTCGAACTTACACCAATCTTCAACAAATCCATCTAACAGGCCGTAAAGCCAAAATGAAGCAGAAGAGAGTTGAGATGCAAGAAGTAGGAATCCATTTCTATAATCAGCTCCAGGTATTGTGTCAGCTTCCTTCCTCAAATGTCTGGCACAGAAACTCAGACACTCTCAATTACTTATGAGTTGCAAAATAATACAGTGGAACTAGAATAGTATCAAACCGATAAAGGAAAGAAGGAAAGCAAACCTTGTCGATAATACTCTATAATTTTGTCTAACAGGTTCATGCCGCACTCAGCAAAACAGAAGAAATTAAAAATCACACTTCAAATTTTCTTGCCACTCTACTTAAGCTGTATGCAACTAAAATCAAACGTAGTCTCGAACACATCAAACTGAACTAAACCGGGAACTACTCAAGATACAAAGACTTAAATTTGTGAGCTTTACCACATAAACTGAGCTATTGATGTGACTCTTTTCAGTGAAGATGAGATCCTAAATGTATGCAACCAAATTCGAACTAACTTAAGAATCATTCAATTAACAAAAACTCAAATTCGTGAGCTTTATGACACAACCAGAGCTTGATCTAAACTTGTCCCAGGATCAACTTGTTTGAGGAGAGTGTTGTTGGGACAGGGATCTTCATAGCTTTTTCTTCTTGCAAACACTCGCTCTTAGCTAAGAAAGTAACGATATCAAGAGAATTCAAAATCCCAACGAATCTATGTTGCCTCATCTCGCTATTCTCCACAAATCCAGGAATCGACGGCGTCGATCTCTTCCTCCAAACCGGAATCCCACACACCGTCAACTCTCCGATCACTCAAATCGCCGATTCCACCGTCTCTGTCTCGTGAAACTCCACCATCTCTGGCTTTCCCACCGTTAGATCTTCCACCACGTGTTTCCACTGGTCTTTTGATGAAAGATCTAAAAGATTTGAAATCAAAGGAGGAAGAGTGAGAGTTATAAGAGGGAGGGTTAAACAAATAAAGGTAAAAACCCTAACGACGACGAGGAGATGAAGATACAGATTTGGGGGAAAGGAAAGAAGGGATGTTGATGAATTTACCAGAGAGTAGATCCGTTTTCTGGTGATAATTTTGGCGCCAGCAGCCTCACCCTGACTGCTACACATATCTTTTCCATTTTCTTCTCTCATAAAATTGCGGCGTTGCTCCACTCTTAAATCTACTGTATGGTGTCGCCTCACAGCCATTCGTTGTTCCCGTCACTAAGCTCCTCCGGATTTTTCCTCTTCTCCACCACCAAAATCTGGATCTATTCGCATCGAGATCGCTGAGATATGGGAAGGGAGTGTGAAAAGACAGCAAAGGTGACACTGAATAAGAGCAACCCATGAACGCGGATGAGCCAATTCAGCATGGATCTAAAGAGAAATTTAAGAGAGACGAAGAAGAAGAGTCTAGAGAGAAACCTAAAAAACAAAGAGGCTTTGGAAAAAAAATACCGTGTAATGTTTTATCTTCATGAGGCGCTAAGTCTCATGTTTTCGCTAAGTGTTGGCGGAAATAAGAATGTTATATGAGAGTCAAACCAAATTTTACCTTCCCGCTTATGTTTTTATGGGGTTAGCGTGTCTTTAGTGCTATGATAATGTAACCTAATTCTTGAAACAATATATAATAGCAGTTAAAGAAATCATGCTATTTTAATGTGTTATCAATACCCATATTTCTTGTAGTGTACCCTATGGACAAGCTTTATTCTCCAAACTTTCTTTGCCTCTTTTGTGAAAGACTCTTTTTAGAAGAGAAATATCAATTTTTAAGAGTTTTAATCAAGAGATTCAAAGATCCTTTGTGTGTTTAAAGCTGCAATCCTTCTTATCTATCATCTCTATCATCATTTCCATCCACTAATCATGTTAATCTACTCTACTTGCAAAGGTCTAAGAGAGATTAGTATAATTAGTGAGTAATCTCCTTAATGAGGTTCTAGATGTGTAGATTAGGGTGCTAAAGTGTTAGATAGGAGTGCTTAGGGCTAGATTCATTGATTCATCTCTCTAAATAGCTGTTCTCTAAGCTAGATCCTTGCACATCACTTGTGATCTAGAATCTGGGTTTTTCATGCACCACAAGTGTTTGATGAAATTTCTGAAAGAGCTATATTAGAGGTTTATGCATTAACCACATGATGATGTTTTGTTATATGCATAAATGATCACTTAGAACTGATTCTTAATGATGTCTTGTTGTTTGATCTCCAATGATGATTGGGTATGTGAAATAACTTGATTTATGTCTTGATGCTTGGGAAAGATTAAGGCTTAATTAGAGTTTTAAATCATTTGAATCATGTTTCATCACTGTCATTAGCATTTCTAGTTTAGCACCAAAGCACCCTAACCAACTATCATGTCTAGAATCTCATGCTTCCATTATTTCATATCCACATCATTTGTCATTTGCTACTTGTTTTGATCATTTGCTTAGTCATTAATCTTGTTTAAGTCTTTGGTAGCCATTAGTTTAATCAAAAACCTCACTTGTTTACTTGAATTAAGAAACAGAACAAATAGCTTAGTGTCTAGCTTCCACATCCTTGGATTGACACCCCTTATGCCACTTTAACAAGGGGATTGATAGCCCTCAAGAGCCTAAAAACTCCTGTCTATCATGTTTTTAAACGTATAAACTAATCTTAACGAGAAAATACGAGAATTAAAATGACCTAATAACTAAACTTAATGAAATCGACTAAAAACGAGAAAAAATGGCTATACCTTATTGCTTAAATAAAAATCGATTAAGAGAATAAAAATGATAAACTAAATCTTGAAATAAAATCTGTGAAAATCAATAGAAAAGAGGCGCTGGGTTTCAGGGAAGTTTTCTCTGGAGTATGAAAGATTCAAAACATTGTTAAAGAGTAAATTTAATAAGATCCTAGCTAAAACTTTTCGAACTCGAGTCACGGATGTATGAATATGCCACTGTTGTGATCATAGACAACTATCTCTCTCAACCCTGACCAGTAGGTTTCCACTCTGGCCTTAGAAGAGAAAAGATGCAATATGTTTAAGACTCGTCAGCATTCACAAATCGACCATAGGTAAGTTGCCACTCCTATGTTTGTTTTGCTCTCCAAAACTAGATCTGACACCGGATTAACACTTTTGTGTCACCAAGCATCTGAATCAGATTGTAGTTCATGACGCTACTCCCATGCATTAAAAGTAAATTCAGAAGAAAAAGTTCTAGGATTCGGCTTCAATAGCTCATGGAATCCTCATCGAACACATGTATCCCCATTGAAAATCCCTTTGACCCAACAATAATACTACTCAGACATGCTGAACGAAATCAAAAACATAGTATTAAAAAAGGATTCAAGAGCTAGATCTCTCTCCCTAAACCGAAAACAAAAGCTTTAAATTGAATCTTTTCTAAATTATTTCGTCTCTCTCTTCTTCTCTCTTAAAAACAACCTAAAAGTATTTATAGTTTCCAATGCTCCATGGTCTCTAGGGTTCTGGAATCAAGACTGAGAAAATAATCTGGGCTTCAGAATGGGCCTTCTACTTCAGAGATGGCTGGCTGCGGTCGGAAAGTGCGTAGCCGCGGTGAATGGATGCTTGGCCGCGGTTGGGTAGCCTCTGACTGTGGTGAAATGGCTGTTGGTTGCGGGTGGAAATACTTACCGGCTGGTTTACGGGACATCTTGCTCTTTGCGTAACTTTTGATTCAACTATTGGATTGCCAAGCAGTAGAGTGTGCTGGAAAGCTGATAGTTCCATCTTTGAGATCTCCAAATTTGAGCTGGATCAGACGGTGAGAAAGTCTTTAATCGGGGGTGAACTTCTGACGGTTTAACTCTGAGCTGAAAATCTAGTCTTCTATCCATTTTATTAAGTTTTTCCCTAAGTTTCCTGAAAAGAGTCTTGGAACTACAGATACCGGAAAAACGTAATAAAAGTACGAGAAAGCAATAAAAAACATAGAAAAAGTATTTCAAAACGATCCATAAAAGTGGTCAAAATGCGGTGTTATCACACCTTAATCAACAAATCACTCAACTCAGAAATTAACTCTCGCTCTCATGCCACGAATAAGATCATGCATTAAAAACAGAATTCGTCCATGCTCGCGATTCTCTATAGGTAGCTTTCGTCTCCTATAGCGATTTCGCTCGATCACTTCTAGGTCTGGTAATTCGAACAACACTCACGTGGCTCCAATTAATGAGATCAATTTCTAAGCGGCTAGCAACAGAAACAGCGTAGGGAACAAGAATGAACGAAGGACTCCTAGAAGATTATAAACCCTAAATCGAACAAAGCATAAGATCAATACATGAAATTTCCTATGAAAACTCCCTTAAAAACCCAACTGGGAAACTACTCAGACATAGTTGAGTTTAACATCACAAAAGTATTTAAAATTTCAGAGAATTGAAAGAGACAAAGGTTAGAAACGAAGAACAGAGTGAAGCAGGAGGGCCGATGGTGCCCCTTTCGGTGGCTCTTCTTCACAGTGAGTCTCTCTCTCTGGGGTTCCTAGCGAAATGTGGCACACACCTTCTAAACGACTTAAAAGAGGTATATATAGTCTTCGGGAACGCCTAAGGCTTGCAAGAATAATGACGGAAATGATTTGGACTTTAAAATGGGCTTCTGAGGCTCGGAAATAGGCTCCCCGCAGTTTATAATGTCGCACCCGCGGTGGATGATGTTTTTGGCCACGGGTCAGCTTCCGACTGTATTGATTCGCCTTCAGTGTATCGACCATACCTGGAGATCTAACCGTTGGATTGCTTTAATTCCACTTGCATTGGAAATATGGTTGTCTCCTCTTTCTTTTTTCAAGATTTAGGGATGATCGGACGGTGGAAAGACCTCCATTTGTTTCCAAACTTCCGAATGTCTGAATTTATCCAAAGTTGTGCTTTTTGCTTCCAAGTACACTACTTTTGTCAAAATATCTTAAAAACTCTTTTGAAACTCTAAAACATGGAAATCACTTAAAAACCTTTAAAAATGAGTGAAAACACCTGCATAAGACATAAAAAGTGATTCATAAAAGTGGTCAAAATTACCTTTATGATTGAGCTTTTTGAGGCACTGTGGAGCTTTGATAGATTCGTGATGCTCCACTTTCCCAAATTCCTTCAGTTTTTCTCTTGAGTGACTGAAAATTATGTTCTTCCTCCTTCTCTGGCGTTTTTTCACATATCTGTCCATACAAACTAAAGAGAGAACGCATGGGGTTTGAACATAAAGGTTTGGGTAAAGGGTGTGGTACCAGCTAAAGATGAACTGGCCATCTAGGACAACAAAGAGTGGTGGCAATAAGGTAAAGATGTCCTAGATGTATATCATGATGCCTGCCTAAAACCAATGATGAGAAAATTAGATGTCAAGGTTAAGTTCAAGTAAAGTGAGCTAGTATATCCTGTCAGAAAAGATCTCCATGAATAGAAATCCTCTGGTGGGAGTTCGTAGTGCAAGTATTCTAGCTACCCCCTAGTCTATTACTAACTACAAAAAGAACTATCATGTGAAGTCTAGAAGCACATTGTCTTACTCATCATAGTTTGTTTCTTGTGTTCTAGTTTTGAAAATCGTTTGAAAAACATTTTATGAAATACGGAATCAAAACAAACCAAATTTTGTTAGTAAAGGATGAACATCCTCCTTTAAATCACACTGCCCTAGTGTGAGAAATCTGTGAGAGGTCGGGATAATGATGGACTGAAATTTGGAATGTTTGAATGCACTTAATTGGCAATATCCCGTGGCTCTTGATGTGGCTTTTGGTTCGTGATTTCTGTTCACCTCTTATTCGTTCTTCGCCTAAAAACCTGAAATAACAGAAGACAGAAACAAAGCAGCAAAAAAAGAAAATGCAAATCAAAGGGAATAAGTAAAATTCCAAATGGGTTGCCTCCCACTAAGGGCTTGCTTAAAGTCATTAGCTTGACTTTGATGATGTTTTAGCCTGGTAGATCTGCCAAGAGCATTTCTTCTCTTTCTTCTTCTTCTTCTGCGAGATATGGTTTGACACGCTGTCCGTTAACGACAAATGTATCTCCCTTCTTACCCCAACAAATGAGTGCTCCATACAGTTTGACTTCCTTACCTGTGAAAGGCACAGACCATCTTAATCGCAGCTTTCCTGGAAAAAGCTTAAGGCGAGAATTGAAAAGAAGAACCCTATCATTTGGAGCAAAAGACCGATGTATGATTCTTTTGTCATGATACGCCTTCGTCTTCTCCTTGTATATCTTGGAATATCTCGTATGCGTTTTGGCGGATTTCTTCTAACTCGTGAATTTGAAGCATTCTTCTTTCTCCAACTGCCTTAAAGTTTATGTTCATCTCCTTAATAGTCCATTCTTATTTGTACTCGAGCTCTACAGGAAGGTGACATGCTTTCCCGTACACAAGATTGAATGGCGTGGTTCCTAAAGGAGTTTTGTATGCTGTCCGACAGGCCCAAAGTGCATTGTCGAGTTTTTCAAACCAATCCTTGCGATTGACGCCG